GCATCCGTGTCCAGCGGGTACGTCCACTGTCAGTTTGTGTGTGTGTATTTTTAAGTCTTCACTGGCAAAGATATCAATATATTAAAAACATAGATTTCTTGGCAGGATGAAAAGTTTAGCTGCTTGGATGTCTTCATTAAAATAAAGGTTAAATCTCTTTTTCCTTGAATTAAATTGCAGATGTTTAGAAAATTTCTGTTCCAGGGCACTGTCACATACCTTTTGGAATATGAATTGTTATAAGCTTTCCTGAGGAAGCTTTGGCAGGGTGTACAAGAGCCTTAAAAGCCTTTCTATCCTTTGACCTGTAGTTCTACTCCTAGGGAATTTCCCTGAGGAACCAACAGTTCCTGTAATTCTCTTACAGAATTAATTAAGAAGAGATATATATATGTATATATGATAACTTTAATAAAAAACAATAGGTGTAACAGAAATCAGATCATAAGTTAATGATTAGCTAAATTATGCCAAGTGTATATGCTGGAGATGATGTATACAAAGAATTTTTAATGACATGGGAAACTGCTATGTGTAATGTCTAATAAAATGAAGCAAGATACAGAACTGCTTATACAACATGGTCAGTAAAAAAAAATGCTATAGGTGCATATCTCTATGTCTAAATAGAAATAGAAAAAAAAGCCTCTGATCTTCAGAGAACTTTTATAATTATATTTTTCTATATTTTTCAAATTGAACCTGGTTTACTTTTATAATCAAAAAAGAAAATAATTATTTAAAAAATGCAAGTGTCGTTTCTGACATTCCCCTCATACCCCTTGATTTCTGTGAGCATTAAAGCTCCAGTGAACCGGGGCAGGTGCTCACGCCAGGGGACTCATGACAGTCTTACTGCAGTTCTGGCCCACGTGTTCTGGAAGGGTGTTGGTTAACTTACTGCTTGCCTCTACGGGTAGGCTGCCTCGGTCTTTTTTTCATTTTTGTTTCTTAACCTACTTTGCGGAAGCAGTGAAATAATGACTTCTGTTTGCAGTCCTGAGTGGATTTTTTTCCTTCCAGGTCGCCTGTGGCTACGCACACACATTAGTATTAACAGATGAAGGCCAAGTGTATGCTTGGGGCGCCAATTCTTATGGGCAGTTGGGCACTGGCAATAAAAGCAACCAGTCCTATCCTACTCCCGTCACTGTGGAAAAGGACAGGTAACATGGCCATTTTCACAGTCCCCACACTGGTCTTTGGTGATTGTGATTAAACAGGACTTAGACATAGAGAGAATGGTGGGGAATGTACTGCTAGTGTTAGAATAGTATTTAACAAGAGTATTTATTCCTTTATAAAAATTGGCTTTGGAATTGTTGGGGAGATTGATTGTATGTTAAATATGCTATTTTCACTTACCCATGTTTCCTCTATACTTCCAACAGCTATTCTAAGCAAACTGCAATGACTAAACTTGCAACAGCTACTCTGTTACTCTTCTCCCTTACAAATCACCCTTTTGCCCTCCTCCTTTCCCTGTTTTACATTCTTAAGGTGATGTCGATAACATTCGAGGGCGCTCTTCCCTGGCTTAGGAAAAGGTACCTTGCGTGGGGTATAAAGCTGGTCACTCAGCTACATAGAAAATTTGCCGGTTGAAAAGGATAAGGTTATTTCATTACTTTTAACTCCCAAGCTGTCACTATGAGGAAGAGTAAAATGGTTAGGAAATTAAGATTTAGTTTTGTGCACTTGTTTGCAAGGTTGTGTTATATAATTAGCACATCCAGAATTAGTTTCCATGTTATTCTGATATTTTTGAAAGCCTTTGGAATTTCTCAAGCATGGTCAGATCGCTGCCTTTTCGCTTTCCATTTCTTAACAGTAGTATAGAGCAAAAACGTTTCATTATCTTTTCTTTTAAACCAGGGTTGCAGTCATCGTAGAAACGAATGCTGCTATTTTTACTGCATATATCTTTATTACATTTGATTTTAAAAGAAATATATAGACAAACAGATTAGCTCGCACTTATATGCAGTGTTTTTCTAATTTTCTGTTGGAATACTTAACAATGAAAATGAGGAACGAAATTGCCATTTTTCAGCTGCCTCAATTTTCATTTGAGTATTGTGAACTTGGCTGACTTTCTTTAACCTACGTTTTAAAAGTTTTATTTAACCAATTTAACATAGGTTATTTTAATAGGTTAAATAAAACTTTTTTTGTCAAAAACCTTAAAATTTAAGACCCCTGGCCCCTTCAGAATAGGGAGGAGGGACAATAATGGAGGCAGGAGGTGGTTCAGGCAGATGCCTGCAACTGTTCATTCACACATCTTGTAAGGTAGCTTAGAGCTCCTCAGAAGAGAAGGGACAGTCCTGAGGCTTTGAATAACCACAAAAGTACCTCAGTTGATAGGGACACTTAATATTTAAACTGAAAAAACAGAGTTAAAGGATCAAATAAAGATGGCATGGAAATAAAAACGATGGATTTGTATGGCCTGTTTTTTTTTTTTTATTTTTTTATTTTTTGAGACACAGTCTCCCTGTTGTCCAGGTTAGAGTACAGTGGTGCAATCACGGTTCATGTAGTCTTGACTTCCCAAGCTCAGGCGATCCTCCCACCTCAGCCTCTGGAGTAGCTGGGACTACAGGAGTGTGCCACTATGCCTAGCTAATTTTTTTGTGTGTTTTTTTGTAGGGCCAGGGTTTTGCCACGTTGCCCAGGCTGGTAGCTCCTGGGCTTAAGCAATCCTCTTGCCTTGGCCTCCCAAAGTGCTGGGATTACAGGTGTGAGCCACCGGCCCATTACTTTTTATGGTGCTCCCACACTTACCCAAAACTTTAGCACATCTGTCCCTGGTCTCACAGAGTCTGCCATCATTGCCCACCAGTGACTTGCTGCATTGCACTGCTGGTGCCTGATCCAGAATGATCGCCCAAGGCCTCTGACTCACGTTCTCACTGGGGCGGATGGATTGTGGGGTATCCAGGTAGGAGAAAGACAAAGCAGCAGAGAAGCAGGTAATGGGAATGGAAGCTGTGTGAGTGCCAAGTTGCTTAACTGGATGTTGGGAGTTATCTATTGCATTTCTGTCTTTCTTAAACTGCAGTTATTTTTGAATTATAATTTGGCTATAAAAATCATGGATGGGCTAGGCGCTCACGTGAGTCTGTAATCCCAGCGCTTTGGGAGGCTGAGGTGGGCGGATCACCTGAGGTCAGGAGTTTAAGACCAGCCCGGCCAACATAGTAAAACCCTGTCTGTACTAAAAATGCAAAAATTCATTGGGCGTGGTGATGCATACCTGTAATCCCAACTGCTTGGGAGTCTGAGGCACGAGAATCCCTTGCCCGTGGAAAGCGGAGATTGCAGTGAGATCATGACACTGCACTCTAGCCTGGGCAGTAGAGTGGGACTCTGTCTCAAAAAAAAAAAAAGGATGGATGAATGTTTTAAACAAGATGTTCCTGATTTTCTCAGTTTTCTGTACTTGCATTTCAAGTGGTGATTTCTGAACTTGCACAATTTCAACCAGGCACTCAATCACAGGCGTATTGCAAGGGAGGGGTTTATAGGTCTGTGCTGGGACTTGTTCTGCACTTCTCCACCCTTTCCAGGAATGGAAAGTCAAGTATATGTCATAACTTATCCCTCAGGAACCCGGGAGCCTTACTTCTGACTCTTCTGGGGCCCATTACAGGAAAGCCTGACTAATTAGGAACTGGATTGAGTATGGGGTGGGGTGGGGTTCAGTGCTTAGTTATCTGTTCACAGAAGTGGGAAGGAGAAACCTGTCTACATTGTTTTCTTTGCTGGAACAACCATCCAAGGGAAATCTTTTAAAATCTTTCCCAGAAAAAGATTTTATTTATGATGGAGAATACTGATATTTGTCAGCAATTTATGTTTACATAAATATAAATTCAATGATTAAAATGATTGTCTTCTTCTAATCCAGTCATTCCCAATCTTTCTGAAGTTTCAGTACCTTGGCCACAGATTGACCAATGTTTGTATCTTTGTTCTTAACGTTTCCTAACAGCATATTTTAAACTAAACTGATGTAAAGCTATCTTTTCCTTGAATTTCTGAGAATTCTTCGACTTCTGAGGTAGTCGGTATAATACTTTGGCTCTTACAAAACCAGGATTGGGAATCCCTGCTGTGGATCTGTCATCTTTGCCGTTTCTTCTCCAATATTCTTGTCCCTCACAGATGACCTTTCACCCCTCCTCGAGGTTTTCTGGTTTCTATTCTTTCTCACTCTCTGCTTTTTCATTTCTAGTACTTCATATCCAATAAGCTCAGTGCTTGTAGTGGATCATTCCCTTGAGGTGACACAAAACCTGTTTATTATCAACATGTAGTGAATTTTTTTTCCCATTAAGATTGGCTACGAAATAAAGTGTGAAACATGCCAGACATCCTGACAGTAAAGGTGAGCTCAGTTGCTAGTCATTGTCTGTTGCACGTCTGACTGGAAAATTGGAACGTCAGCATGTGCTGCTTGGTATGAGTCCAGTTTAAAAACCGATGATGACTTAGGCAATGGCAGGGTTCCTTAGCAGTTGCTTGGATCACAAGCCTAGACCTGAAGGTACCCTCTAAACTTTCTCCACTCTCATTCCTGTAGCAGCTACTGCAGCCAACCAAATCCGCGTCCCACCCCTGACTTCCCACGTGGAGCCGGGTGTGCCGGGTATACGTCACAAGGCCATGCCCGGGGTCGGGCGGCATCATGTGGCCTTCCCCGACCCACCCTTTGGCTCTGTCTGTGCCAGCCCTTCTCTAGAAAGTAGTGTCCCACTTCAGGTCACCAGCTGCTCTAGGGGCAGAGGCTACGCCCTTTCATGGACGCTAGTAACAAATAACGTATCTCAGAATGGAACATAGGAACCGCATTATTTGGCTTTTCTGATGTTGGGCAGATCAGTGAAGGATGCTGTTGTGCTCCAGTCACTGACATGTTTCATAGAACGTTACCCCAGAGTACACAGAAATGATTCCAAAAAATGTAGAAGTCTTTGCCTAGTAAGTCACTGCAGAAGTGCTGAAATCTGAAGAAAGGAAGAGCAGTTCATGAATGCTTATCTCCACATTGTTCACTGGGCTGTCCTAACCTCCCCTGCTCCCAGAGAATACCAGATGGCTTTACAATTGAGGTGGTTCAAACGCAGAAGGCCCTTTTTCCTTTCATTACTTGCTCAGTTATCTGAACATTGGCCCCCACACCTGCCACCTGGCCAGCACGGCTTCTGCCTCCCTCGGCACTGCCAGGCGGGGCTTTTCTCAGATTCATCCTCTGGGCCACCTTCAACTCCTCTCCCTCCCTCTGCATTAACATCCAGGCCACCCTCATTAGTCCTTGGCAACCTAGCTTGGGTTGGCCTCCCCAGCCAGCCTTCCAGACTGTTCTTTCTCTCCCTTGCAGCCTGTCTTGCACACCACTGTGACCAGGTCCGTCTGTCTGAGAATACCATTTCCTCACATCATGGCCCTGTTTACAAAACTGTTTCCCATTTGCCTATCACATCAGATCAAATCGGAACTCTTCGGCTCTGGACTGAAGCCGACGCCACTGTTCCTGGCAAGCCTCGTTGCCCTTCGATCCCGGCGTTGGCCTCCGTCCCTGTCAGGCCTCGTATGATGCTGCTCTCTGGCGTCCTGCCGTCTCCAGCTCTGCCTGCACGTTGCTCCTGCATTTCTCTCCACCTCATAAGACTCTTATTCCACGGCTCTGGCCAGGCCAAAGCATACATGGCCCAGTTAGCTCCCTTTTACTTGAAATATTCCCTGAGGAGCCCCTAGGTATTTTTCTTTACTCACCAGAGACTTGTAGTCAGGGCCACACTGATATCATTTGGGAATTATTTGCAAAGTCACAGCTCTGGACTTCTCTCTCCAGCTACATCATGAGTTTCTCAGCTAAGTCACAGGCCCACAGTTCCTGCTGCAGCTGGTAAACACTTTCAGTCACGGAAGGAAGCCTTTTTCGGTTCTCAGCTCTGCCAAGGAACTTCTTTCATGTACACGAAACCACCAACTGTGAGAGGATGGCTGCCTGTATCTTGTTCCCCCTCATCTTTTTTTTCTTTAAAAAGATGGTAAAGCTGATTATAAGAATTTAAGTAACGTGGCCCTAGAACTACACTCTGACTCTGAGCCCTGTGTCCTGCCCACAGCACCAGGCCACGAAGACATACCACGTCGCTACCCTCACATTTGCTTGTAACTTAGGAGGCTTGCTAGTAAAATCGATGGTGACAGTGGATGTACTTCTCTTTTAATACATTTATTCTATTTCCTTCTCCTATTTTCTTTATTTGTTGAAAAGAATGTGCTGATTGAGAAGCCAAATATTATTAACCATTTTCCCCATCTGTCACGGTTCTTTTGCACAGCACTGGATTAGGCCGGGAAATCAGGAAATATCAGGAAAAAGATTCTTCTAGGGAAACTCTTACTAATCTGAATTGATCACTAGAAATACATGGTCTCTACCTAAAGGACGCTTTGTCACTTAAAATGCCGAGTACTTGTCATAATGTAAGGAAACCTCCATTGTCATGCAACCATTTGCACCCAGACATTGTGCCTGGTTGCACTTAACATTTTATCGTTTGATTCTTACACCAGCCCTCCAATGTGATGAAACCAAGGCTCCTAGGTGCTAAGTGACATTCCCCTAGTCATGCAGCCTAGTGGTAAAGCGGAGATTCAAATCTAGTTTTTGTTTTCCTTTGAGCTGGAGCTGCAATTAAAAAAAAAAAAGAAGAAAGAAAAAACAAACCTAGGTTTGTTTGACTCCAAATCCTGAGCTCTCTACTGTGGGCCATCGTAGCCTCTTTTCCTGTAGTATTTGTGTGTGGTTTTCAAGGGCTAAGAACGATCCTCTAATAAGTCAGTGAAATTGCCACCCGTGAGAACAGCATGTCTCAGCCTCTGAGGCGAGCAGGCACAAGCTCTAGGTTCTGTGATGACACCTCCCTCCTGGTTTGGGGGCAGCTGCCTAAAGGAGGCAGCGTGGGATCATCCTCACCCTTCAGGTGCTAGTCCGTGTCAGTGGGGCCTTACACAACTCTCCTTTGTGTTGTTGAGTCTTCCTCAGTCAGCAAAGTGACCCACAGATTATATTCAGTAAGACACCATGCTATGTGCTTAGAGAGAATTAAGCCAGTGATTAGGCCTGCCAGAAACCGGCCATCGCGCTGAACAGGTGAAACGGATGCATAAAGAGTAACAGGGCCAGGCTGGAGTGGTGTGGACAGGAAGTGCTGCAGGAGCTCAGGTGAGCGGGAGACCTCAAACTTGGGGCGTGTGAACTGGGCCTTAGAGGATAGGTAGGATTTGTAAGGCAGAGAGAAAGAACATTCCTGAACAACCATGGATGAAGCCATTGAAGGGCAGTGAGAAAGCCCATTTGTTGAAGCAGGGTGTGTGCACAAAAGTGACTTGAGAGCTGGCTGTTCAGAAGTGACACCAAATCATGGATGGGGTTATGTCTTGTGTCAGGATTTTATCTGAGGGAAGCCGCTGCCTGTGTGAAAGTTCTGATGAGAACGGTGTTCCAGGAGGATGGTTAACCTGCCAGCACTGTGTGAGTTGGGGCAGAAGGGACAGTCTAAGGCAAGGGAGACCTGGGAGGCTATTACAGGGCCCAGATGCAGGGTGTGCCTGACCCCCCAGTGGTGGCTGAGGGGAGACATTGCAAAGCATCTTTGTTATTTAACTGGATATTCTAAAGAAAATGGTAAATACGGAGGGAGAAGTCAAAGTTGACCCTGAAGTTCTGAGCCTAAGTCTGAGGATGCTGGTACCATTGTCTGCTGTAGCAAAATCAAGATGGGGACTTCCCCTGGGTTAAAAGAGTTTACCCTTTTCCTTTAATCTGTATGGTGGCTTATTCTGATAGAAAAGAAATTACTTCCAGGGGAAACAATGTTTTTCCATTAAGAAGTGTTACGAGGCCAGGTACAGTGGCTCACACCTGTAATCCCAGCACTTTGGGAGGCCAAGGTGGGAGGATCACTTGGGCTCAGGAGTTCAAGACCAACCTGGGCAACATGGCAAAACCTGGTCTCTACAAAAATTAGTCAGGTGTGGTGACTTGCACCTGTAGTCCCAGCTGCTGCGGAGCCTGAGGTAGGAGGATCGCTTGAGCCTAAGAGGCAGAGATTGCGGTGAGCCAAGATCCCAGATTGTGCCACTGCACTTTAGCCTGGGTGACAGGACAAGACTCCTCTGTCTCAAAAAAAAAAAAAAAAATGTTCCGAGAACTACCTCCTCGTCAATCATGAACTTAGAGCGGTAGGGCGTATCACATGGTGATCCTAGAAAACTGCTCTCCTGGGTTCCAGGTCATACAGTCCAGTGTGGTAGAACTACTGAATTTACTCTGTGCAATAGGAGTTGGAATAGCGTGCTAGAAATCGGTGAAGTCTTCATTAAAATATTTATTTATTGGCCCTCAGTCCAGATGACCCAAATCTTTATTATTTTCTTCAGTAAGTAATGTTTTAGGGGAAAAAATTTAAACCACCCTTTTTTGGTGGGGGGACCACTACTCTCTTGGGTTATACTTGAATTTCAAAATAGATGGTACATATTTTTATAGGCCTACTGGCTAGAAGTGGTACAAACAGATCTTCATGAGTTATAAGTGCCATTGAAGTGTGGCTTAAATGTGAATAACGGTTTGGTGCCTGATAATTTAGGAGATGAGGTGTATGAGTCATGTGGTAGTTTTTTTTTTTTTTTTTTTCTTTTCCTGACCCTTTTTGTAATTTTATGATGTCCCACATCAGTTAAACCTGAGTGGGGGAGGATACAACTTGTTTCTGCCTCTGGTCACTGTGCTTATGTGGTGTGTATTTGTGAATTTAGGATTATCGAGATTGCAGCCTGTCACTCCACACACACGTCTGCAGCCAAGACGCAGGGTGGGCACGTGTACATGTGGGGCCAGTGCCGGGGTCAGTCCGTGATCCTCCCGCACCTCACCCACTTCTCCTGCACCGACGACGTGTTTGCCTGCTTTGCCACTCCCGCCGTCTCGTGGCGCCTTCTCTCCGTGGGTGAGCTAGTCACTGTCCATTTGGGGGATGGCCCGAAAATCTGGGAAAGAACTCAGGGCTTTACTTCGATAATGAGGATTTTGTTAGGTGCACTCTCATAATTTATTTCTCTCTGATGGGCTTCTGCAAAAGGGAACTAATTTTATTTTCTTCAAAGCATCAGAAACCAACGCTAGTACTAAACTAAAAGTAATTTTATTTGACTGCTTTTTTTTTTTTCTTTAAGAGAGAAAGATGGGTCTTGCTCTGTTGCCCAGGCTGGAGAGCAGTGGTGCAATCGTAGCTCACTGTACTCTTGAGCGCCTGGACTCAAGCAATCCTTTTGCCTTAGCCTGTTGAGTAGCTGGGAGTATGGGTACCCACTACCACGCCTGGCTAATTTAAAGAAACTTTCTGTGGAGGTGGGGTCTCGCTGTGTCACCCAGGCTGGTCTTAAACTGTGAGCCTCAAGCCATCTTTCTGTCTCCACCGCCACCAAAGTGTTGGGATCACAGGTGTGAGCCATGGTGCCCTGCCCTTATTTGACTGCTTTTTAATTTTACCGAGAAACTGTGTCTTTTACTTTTAGCTAGCATATTTGCTCAAATGTTTAAAATTTCATTCAAAATTAGTGATGTGGCTTGGGACTTTTTCTTATTATTTTGCCAGATTTATAAGCCGATGTGTGTGAGATTCTTATCCTTAATGATTACAGAGATGCATATCTGTCTTCAGGGGAAAAAACCCATTGCTCAGTTGCTCAGTTATTTTGAGGAATTCGTATTTTCATGAGCATTGGTAAAGCAGTGCCATACCCTGGCCTGCATGTTCATTATGTCTGTAGCTAACCTGGAAGCATTTGCATTATTCTCCTAGAACCCGATGACCACCTCACAGTGGCTGAGTCACTGAAGAGGGAATTTGACAACCCGGACACCGCAGACCTGAAGTTTCTGGTTGATGGAAAGTACATTTATGCACATAAAGTCCTTCTCAAGATTCGGTAAGGAATCATTTATTTTGAGAATTGAGAAAAATAATTCATTCAACAATTGTATTCTGAGTGTCCAACTCTATTAGGCACCTCAGTAATAAAGAGAAAATGTAAGACTGTTTTGCTCTTACAAGCATACAGTGGAGCGGGGGGAAATATACGTGAAACAAGAAATAACACAGGTTGTGTGTGGTTCAGGGAATCAGGACCGTAGGCGATCCTGAGGCCTGAAAAGTGGGGTGGTCACCTTGACAGCAGGGAGCAGCCAGTGCACCCTGCAAATGTGTCCTGTGCTCTGAACACCGTACTGATACTTGGACGTCCATCAGTTACCCTCTCTGCCTGGGAATCAAGCTCGGCTCATAGTAATCACTTTCTTTAATCACTTGTGGGGTACTTTTAGATGGTTTAAAAAAGAGAAGATCGAGGCCTTTCCAGACCAAAAAGGTCTGTAGTGAGGCTAGCGCAGAGATTTTAAAAATCACATTTGTGAATGTTTGTGAGCAATGAGCTGTGTGCATTTCAAGTGTGCAGTTTGATGGGTGCTGACACATGTCCACGCCTGTGAAACCGCTGCCCCACATCCAGATAGAGAACATTCCCACCACCCTTCAGAGACCCCTCATGTCCTAGCCATGGGAGACCGTGGCTCCTTCTGTCACTGTAGATGAGTTAGCATTTTCTGGAGTGTATTTAGATGGGATGATACAGGATGCATTCGTTTGTGCCTGGCTGCTTTCTCTTACATAATGATTTTGAAACTCTTTATGTTGTTGTGTAACAGATATTTAAATCCTACCGCAGTGAGTCACAAACTCAACACAGCATTTTAGTCTCAAGTTCCTCTTTTTTTTTTTTTTTTTTTT